TAATGCGAGCGGTGCGACTGCTGTTGACTCTTCATGGCTTTGGCTTCAATGGAGGGACACACACCGGTCAGCAACTAACCAGAACAAGCTGTTTTCCATCGCCTCTGCCCAGGCCAGCACATCATTATTTTGTTTGGATGCAGGCCTTGTCACATGTGTATCACACTCTCTGGATGTTTCATCTCCACTATAGCTGCTTGTGCACTTTCTTCCACTGCATAGAGAGTTTGTAATTTCTGATTAAGTACTCCCATAACACAAACTGGGTCATTAGGTGTATGAATAGTGTTTGTTTCGTGATCACCGCTATCAAACGTATTGTGTTCAGGCTTGAGATGTTTTTACAGCAGATTGATTTGACAAACGGGCCGGGTGAGAGTAATATTGAGGTCTTATCTGGCATAGCTCAACCAGGTGTGACCTGACATCAGACTGAAGAGTTTGAATAGACATAACTCAATATCATCTCACTGTGGGAGCATCACTATTTGAATAACATGGATTATAAACATCAAAGAGCAGGCCGTACAAAAAAAAAAGGTTTTACCTTAGAGCCAGAAGGACAGCACATTGGATTGTATCAGAGAAACAGGGTGAAATGGTTACAACAACAGAGAGTCGTAAGGATTAAAGGACTGTTTCAAGCAGCTTGGACTATGAGAGCCATGTGGGCAAAACCATGGATCATGCCAGGACAATGCAAAAGAAAATGGTATGTTTCCTCAGTAAAAAAACTACGTGCTGTTTTCATTAAAGCACAATTTCAAAATATGCTTTAACATTAATGGTTAAGAGTGAAGAAATTACATGTAGAAAAAAAATTCATTACAGGAAATAGATTAAAGAGCAAAAGATAAGGCAATCCTGATGAAACGTATGATAACAATCTGTTTTCCTCTTCAGCATTAAACTGAAATTAATGAATTACCAAAAGGTTACAGGATACATTTTGCCAGGCACACATTTTAAAATTGGATTCATTTCATCTTAATCATTATATGAATAATAAATAATCCTCCACGCTGCCTTCAGCACGACAGCGTCTGAGTATCTCTAAATACGGAGCGCTCGACTTTGTATGTCACAAGAGGCTAAATGTCCACGCTCCTGTGAATCACATCCTCACATCGTCACAAATTCATGACGTTGGCGCCATCAGTCAACAACCGAGCACTGCCGGCGACACAGGACGTCACTCGGGAGAGTCAAAGGTCAAGAGACAGGAATTAATAAGTGCTGGCTTGTATCAGAGGCAACCCATGGCTCGTCACCGTCAGCCAAAGATCAGTCCTTATGACGTCTGTGTATGGGCATGAATCAAAGAACAGTGGCATATCATACACTATGAAACTCTGCCCCCTGGAGAGTATGAAATCTTCTTGAACTCTGAGAACAGATAACAGATTAGTCATCTGAATGTAGTCATGTAAGAACCAAATACTAGGAGGGATTTCTTTTAGGGTAATTTGCTGCAATAAGCAACTGTGAGGGGATAAGAGCGGGGAATGATTTAATGCTGGGGTAGGTAGCTTTGTCCCAATGTATTCACTATCTGCTGAGAGACATTTTTGCCTTCAGTTAAGTCCCTCAGACAGTTTGTCCCTCCAGGCTATGTACCACCCCAAACAAGCTCAACCAATCAAATGCTTTAGGCTATAGGTCACAGTAGGTTGAAGGCATTGGGTGGTTTTGGGATCTGGCAAAGATCCAGTCTAAGAATGTGGCAGTCATATAAGAAAAGAGGTCTGCCTGCCTTAGCCTTTTTTTTTTTTTTTTTGTATAACATTTAATTTGACCCTTTGGTTTTTTATTGTTGTGATTTGATTTAAGGATTCATATGGAGGAAAAGATCTCCCAACACAGGCTGATGAGAAGGGTGTAGGTTCTGGTACATAGACCGTACCCTAGACAGTTCTAAGCAATCAGAACCATATCATCTCCTGGGACTGCATTTGTCTTGAAATCTCATTAGAAGTTCGGAACACATTTGCGGCGATGCAAATTGTCGTTGCCTGTCCATTTTATAAAGTCTGCAGTGCAACATTTTGGTCAGAGTCCATGGAAAAACATCAATTGTAATTAGGGGTTACATCAGCATGGGGTGGATGTTGTTTTCCTTCACATGGGAACCCATTTTATGGTCGAATTCTGAGGTTGAAATCACAGAAAAAGTGAAGGCGCAGCTGTCAGTCTGGTTCAGACAGGACAACATGGATGGAACGAGGAGCACACTGGGAGGTACGCACTTGTGGTTGAGCTATAGCGTTGTCTTGGGCTGCTGCCTGCATACTTGATCATACCCGGAGGGCCGGGCAGTTCAAGGTCCATTTTGAACACTGTGTGTGGGAAGAGCTACTGTTGGCAGGTCAGTTTAAGGCAGGTTATTACGATGGAACAAGGGTTTCCTTTTCGTTTGGACCTGCACGCCTCGTAACACAAGTATAATATACAGAGGATCTATCACATAGTTGTTGCTGCATATACAGTAGTAAAATGCAAAACAGGAAAGAGAGCTATATACAGTTTTACATGATATAATCTTGGGGATCTTTGGAATGGGGTTAAATGATAGGGTGCATTTCTATATAGAGGGAAGATGACAACAAAACCTCTCATGTTATATGCTATGCAGTTTCCACTCATCCAAACATCCTAAAAACCTGATGAGCCAACAAAGACACACACGTATCTTTACTACATCTTTGGAGGAAAATAATATGCTGAACTCCGGAGGTGTGGTCAGCTGTGTGTAGGTCAGCGTCCACACCAGTTGCACTGTGATTATGACTGACCTGAGTAAATATTTTACGTGGTAAAAATGGGAATAAAGGATGAAAGGAGTATATAAAGAAAACCCAATGGATGTGTAATTACATCAATGCCATGCCCCTTGAAGCCATATCGCCCAGTATACTGCTGAGGTCAAATAAGGACATGTACTGTAGCTTGCAAGTACTGGCACTGCATGGTGCTGCTCAAGGTCTCATAATGGGAAACAGGGATGAGCAACCCACAGGCAACAACAGTGTGGTAGTAATGGCTGGTGTGAATCTAAGGCGCAACCTCCAGTAAAATAACAGCAAATGAAATACCGTCTTCATATCTTTCTTCAATTGATCTCAGGGTGAAACGCTTCCTGTGGGACGAGAAAGTATAAGGCGATTCTGTGTCTCACAGGCCGTCTGGTGAGTAATAGGAATGAGTGATACAGAGTGAGTCATGATACCTGCTGAGATTGTATTCATGCTGCTGCTGTTATTCTGTGTTAATTCACTAACATACGATCCGGGTTTCAAAAAATGGTTTAATTTTAAAAACATGGCCATAATAATGTATACTGCGGTCACACAAGATTGATTTGACACAAGGGATGGCCAGTTCATGAGTGCAATGACGCTAATTTGACAAAAACGAATCACACTGCAATTTGGAGCTGGAGTGAGACAGTTTATAAGTCAGGGGTTTGGCATCTGTGGTTTTAAATTTCCCTTTGCTGCTGTCTTTCATTTGTGACCTCACAGGCTGATCATCTTCCCAAGATGCGATATGAATTGTAGGTTTTTCTGAGTAAGTTTATCTAAAGCTAATAATGTACGCTCCACTGGCTCTTCAGCTGGAAGGATGAGTACACAGATCCAGATTTTAGCTACAAATTCTCACAAACCTACAGTGCTGGATTAATTCTTGGATCCTACCTGTACTCTTAATCAGACCGGCTTCTTGGCATGCCTCTCGCTGGAATGTGGTGAGAATCAATTAAGGGAAACTTGGGAGAGTTTTCGGCAAGGAAGGCACAAATCTCAGGGAAGGTCAAGGAAAAAAAACATAAAGCTAAATCATACAGTATGTTAAAAAATATTTTCACATTATCCTCTCAGTTGGTGGCAAAGACTGAGCAGCAAGAAAGCAGCATTTTTCTTTCTCTGCTTTAACGAATAAAGTATTTTAGGATATCAGGTTGTGTGACGAAGCTCTGGATTATTGTTTGGAAAGTACCGATGTCCCAACAGAAACTATCAATCACACCGCACATACATATTCATTTTGAGCATGTGTGGTCCCTGCTTATGTACAATATGTGAATGTGTGCATTTCATAGAGGAAGTGAATGTCAAAAGGGGTTTGGAGCTTTACACCAGCTCCCGGTGTAATCTCCTTTGATCAGAATAACTTTTATTAATTAACTATTAACTATTCTGTTTTTATTTCATTTATCTTTTTTTTTCACGCACTTATTTTTATTTTCCTTCATATTTACTTATTTAATCTTTTCTCTTTCTTTTTTTTTTTTGTTTGTTTATTCTTATTGTAACCTATATTGCCTGTCATTTGTTTATTTCATTTATATATCTGTCAGGAAATATTATGTAAAATGATTAAAATGTTTAAATAAAAAGTTCTAAAAAAAAAAAGAATAACTTGCGTTTTCATGTAAATCCTGCAAAGAATAACTTTGAAGACGTCTGAAAGCAAGCACAGGACGGACGAGAGAGTGGATAGACAAAGCGCTGGGTTAAAAATGCAGAGTGGCTCAGCTGTATTTAGCCATGTGTCAAACAGGGTATGTGGAGATGAGAAACAGCCTTTGGTGCAAGTAACCCTGGTGAATAAACACACAAACACAAAGACAAACATGAATAAAGTGAAAGTCAGACAGAGCTGATGGGTGGGAGTTGCAAAAAAGAGAGATCAATGGGTTTCATTCATGATACTTAGTTAACCAGTGAGTACATTTAGAAGGGACCTTAATTACTGTTAGAAAACATAATGGCACCACTTAAGACAAACCATAATAGGCAAAGGGGATAATGTATCGTCTTAAGACCAAAATGATGGTGAATGAAGGTGAAAAAAAGGGGGCATGAGTTACTAAAGAATTAGGTCATTGGTGGTTGGTGGAGGTTGTACATTGTATGAAGTCCAAAAGTTAGACCTGCAGAGACTGAAAAACATCATCAAAGTCCACATTTTTCATATATGTATATTACTTTATTTTTCAGAGTTGCTGCTATTCATTTGGGAAGCAAGATTAAAGGACTTCTTCTTTTGAGACACACCTCTGGAATCAAACGTTTGGTGGGCCAGCATGCACAATACCAGGACCCTGAAACTGAAGCAGCTAAATGGAAAGGCACCAGTGTGTAGGATTAATGGCTTCTAGCAGTGAAGTTGCAGATTGCAACCAACTGAATATAGCTCACCTTCCAGGCGTGTAAGGGCAACTACCGTGACAACAAAACTCACAAATAAAACGCAAACGTCTGTTCTGGGTTACCGTAGAAACATGGCGGTTCAACATGGTGGCCTCCGTGGAAGAGGACCCGCTCCCTCTGTGGATACAAATAGCATGTTGTAAGGCTATGAAAACACACCTATGAATATTATATTCCATATTATATTCCATTGCTGCCAAACTTTTTAAATGGTTCCTTTCTCTGCTACTGTCATTTCAGTATCCAATCAATGCAACCATCAGAACCAGCTCTCCAACAGGCCTTTCCTGTCACCTGATCAGCGGTCATGCTTCACATCCATCCAGATTTTCAGCCAGGCTGTTCTTCCACCACCAGTGTCCAGGCTCCATTGGAAGGATTTTTTTGTGCGACCACCCCTGTAAAATGACGATGCCACAATGCGGTCTAATCACCAAAGGCTCCTAACATGTCTCTCCAACTTTTCCCGGTGTGCAGATAAATGATTGTAATTACTCTCCTTCTTTCAAGTAGTCTCTCATAATTGAAATAACATGCATTGCATTGTAGCAATTGCTGAAACGGAGCTATTAGTAATGTTATCAGTTCCACCTGTGCTTTTCCTGTTTTGACTGTCAATAAGTCGAATTCCTTTTAGGAATGATAATGAAACCTGACTGCTTGGCTAGCATGGCCATCAAGATTTAAGAAAGCAAGATTCTGACAGCAATTTGTGAACTACATAATGGACAGATTTTTGACACAGTAGAGAAGCAGGTGATGCTCATCAAACATTTTATATTTTTGGCTTTTAAAAGAAGGAATAACAATATAATGAAGTTTAGGACCCACTCATGCAAGCAAACTGCCTGAGCACCAGTTGATTACTGGCGTGGACAGATACCAATGCTGAGTGTTTAGAAAAGCAAATTAACCGGCTTTGTCATATTGATTGGTAATACATAAATGATGCATCTTTACTTGTCTGAGAAGTCCAAGCTAAACTCCTCCCAAACACAGAATCAAAGTAATGTAATACTTATGATCTTATTCAGTCCAGACAAAATTTTTCAGCACACCCAGCTCTGTCCAAATGCTGGAAACCAGAGAAATTGGTATCTGTGATGTCATGGAAAAAATAAACAGACCTAAATGTTTGAGATTTAATGAGTACAAATGAGCTTTATTTGATTGCGGCTTTTGTGTGTGTGTGTGTGTGTGTGTGTGTGTGCGTGTGCGTGTGCGTGTGCCCTTTCCCCCGTCAGATCAAGATTGTCTTTCAGCAGGGATTTGTTGCTTATGTGATGATGAGGTTCAGCTTTGGAGCCAGCAGTAACAGTAGGGCTCATAAGTCATTGTAAGGATTATACTCACATTGCATTTTAAATATCATGCTACAGTACACTGAACATGCAAAAACTATTAATTTCTTCATGGGACAACTGATTAATATCTTTATTTCTAATATCTAAATTTCTCCTATCTGATGATATATTGTAGTAGCTTTATAAAAGGCTTTTATGATTTGCTGTATGATGATATATTCATATTGTTCATTTATTTGTTAGTTTGTGGGGACAATATAAATAAATATTATGTAAGAAAAACAAAAGCAACAGATGTATATAAAGCATCCAGCTGAAACTATTGAGCAGAGCCCCGTACTTGGTTACACTTAAATCACATTCACAAATTCTCATCTGCAATTATTTTCATTCTTTCAGCACCATGTAGGATCCCAAACAAAGCTGTACTAATTCGACTGATCTTAACATCAGCTCAACTGCCGAGCATCTCCAGAGACTCTGAACTTAACCTTCCGTGGTGTCTTTGTTAGGGGAAACCCACCCTGAGGCTCCACCGAACTCCATAAATAATTCCCCATAGTGAGGAGTTGGTCATACAGATACACTTGTACGTCTGATCTGTGTTCTGCTTCTGCCCTCACCTGAAGTAAGTAGTGGATTAGTGCATTTGCTATTGCTATATGACAATGCTTCTGCAGGGAAAATGGAAAACAAAAATCAAACATCTGGCCTAAGGGTGGTGCCAGAGAAAGGGCTATGTAATTGGCATGTTAACATGCTAATGATAAAGTAATGCTAAGCAAAATTTTGCATGTTGCTAACACATTAGTATTAGTATTAGTATGGTACAGTATCTTAGCATGAAGCTCGAAGTAGAGCTGAAGCAGAGGAGAATTTGGTCCTTAGCTGTGAGATTATTGTTACTACTGTTTGAGCTATTGGTGGAAAAACTGGAAAACTTTTGAGAGACTACATTGCTTACTTTGATATCACTGGTGGCACAAAAATGCAAATAGCAGAAGTCTTGAGACTGGAACAATGTTCCTGTTACCTTCAGTAACTGAAATCAGCTGTTCATCCTCAGCTGCACTGAGGCTCAGCTTTGCTTTTAGAGTAAGGGAATCACTAAAGTCATTATGCATCTGTACCAGATTTCATGGAAATCTAACCTTTTTGTTGATACACTCCAGAGCAAGTGGTAGAGCCATGGACAGCTAGCTACATGGAATAACAGAAGAACCGATTCACTGACTGACCATCAGGAAAACAATCCAACATTTCTGTCCTGACGGATCTGAAAACATTTAACATTACGCACAAAAATCTGGTTGTCAGATTCAGCAAGTCATTGTTGTTTTTCCATTTCCACTTCTAACTTGAACCACACAGTTAGTTTCTTATCTTAATCATAATAAAGGGTCTTATAACTGATGGCTTTGCAGATTGCAATTTAAGGGATCCCACTGGGGGGGTCGGCTTTAGTTTACAGTTTGGGATGAAGGAATGACCAGTAGAAGGTTCTCACAAGTGCAGTAATACAAATACATGCATGTGTGTGTGTTTGTGTGTTTATAACACAGGGTTCATTGCTATTTCCCCAAATATTTTCCTTGGGTGTAGGGCTGCTCAGTGGCTGGGTGTTGGGGTCATGGAGAGAGAGGGTGTGTCTGTAGCAAGTCAGTGCCTTTGAAAGGAGATCAGAGCAAATTCTGACCTAATTACCAGCATGTTTACACCTACACATCTGGGCCTCGCCACCATCTGCTGAGTGACGGGGAACATGAAAGAATATAATAGGAGCAGGTTATCACAGACAAATTCGTTCAGTCAGAGTTGAAAGCACTCCTTTCCTTTTGGATTGGGTCTTTTGTTTGCCATGTTAACAGCAGCTCTATGAACGGCAATGTCTGTCTGTTGGTGGGTCTGTCCACCACCTGGGTCCAGACTGAAATAATGTATAATAAACTATTGGGATAGATTATTAGATTGTTACGTTCATGGTCCCCAGCGGATGAATCCTGCTGGCTTTGGTGACCCCCTGACCTTTTCTCTGGTGCCACCATCAGGTCATTTTGTCTTCTGATGAAATGTCTCAGCAATGATTGATAGCCATGAAATTCGGTATACACATTTATGTTCCCCTCAGGATTAATTGTGATTGGATGTTCCCTTAACTTTTGATTTAGTGCTATCATCAGGTCCATATTTTAATGTTGGATACTGTAGTTTATGACCTTACCTGCAAAAATACTGAATGTCCCAACCAATCTACCCAACAGACTATGATGATGAGCATAGTAAACATACCTGCTTAGCATCAGAATGCCTGCACTGTAATTGGGAGCATGTTAGCATGCTGATTAGCATTAAACTCAAAGCTCTTGTTTTTAAAATCGATGCATGTTAGGGTTTGAGTAGCCTTTCCAAAGGTCCATTTCGTTGAAGAGCTCTACCACCAAGTAGCTGTCTTTGCCTTTCTAAGTACTTATAAAGTAGTAATAAAGCAATAATTACTACTCACCCTACTAAGCACATAGCTTTAAGCAATACAGACAATCTGATGCAGCCTGCTAAATCTAATTTATTAAGGTACAAGGAACAAACCCATGTTGACTGCTGGTCAAATTTTCTTGAGTGTTTCTTTGGTATGCTCACCACAAGGTTATGAACAATGATTGAGCTTTTCAATCACTACTTTATTCCTAGGTCATTTGTCACACCCCAAGAGACCATGATTATTTTTTCTATCTTTTAGAACACTTTTATAATAATGGAGTAATTCTCCAACAAACTCCTGTAGGAAAACAAAGAAGAAAGATGCGTAATGAGGGATATATGGTAATACACTATTGGTGTAACAAGCCAAAGCTGGTGGAAACTAATGTGAAACTGCTCAGTGAAGAATTGTGTTGTCATGCTGCCACCTACATATCATGTTGTTATTTTGACACCCATCTATTTCAAGGTGAAATCTAAGCTCTCACTTGGGGTATCATTTACTGCACAGTTGCCATACAGTTTTCACACAAATTAAAATTTATGTGAATTAATTCCCCAAATTATAGTGGAGCAGAAGTGGAGTCCCCTACTGCTTACTCATTTGTGAACCGCAGACAAGCGAATGTGTAGAGGCTTTGATTCAAGTTTCACTTTTAAAGGAGTCTCAGCAGGGAGCCAAGGGAAATGTCTGCCGGCCGCACCCACACTTCCTGCACTAGCCTGCCTCCATAGAGTACACAAACCCAAAACAGCCATCAGTATTAAGACACAGCTTCCTCTTATCAACACCGCCACAGGGAGATTAAAATAGTTTGTTCCCAAAATGTCTATTATTATGCCTTAAATCACCCATGTCACCCATGATTAGGGGGAACAAACACTTGTCTTAATTACAAGCAGCCACAATATTCATCATTTAGGCTATGATTCATTATTATTTATGCAACAAATGTGCCAAAAACATTTGTTTAAACTAAATCCTTACCAGACATGGTACCACAGTTATTCATATTGTGTGTAAAACCCCGGAGCACAACAATCAACTCCCTGTCACTGAAGAAAATAAACTAGTTTTTAGCCTCTGCAGTGAGTGGGTTGTTTTACAGTATCTCAATTTGAACTGGACTGTCATACAGAAAAGATCTGCACTGAGTCACTGCTGTGAAGACCTTGCTTGCTGCAGGCGGCCATTGTTTCCTCCATTGTTCTCCCTGGTGACTTAAATAAAGAGTCTCCAAAGCCACACAGCTCTAAATATGTATTTCTGCTGTGCTAATTAGAGACTGTCTGTCAAGCGGGCACTGAGCCCAGGACGAGGAATGGCTAAATATACGAAAAACAAAAACAAAGCCTCCAAACGTGAAATTATAAACATTTAGACAGAAAGTCATGGAAAAAATTGCAAATATAACTGGAAAGGTGACTTTTTGTGTGTTAGTTTTATTGAAGGAGGAGCGTGGCAGTGACAGGAGTTGTGGTTTGGTCACAAGCTTTGAGAATGTGACTGTGGGGCTATTAGTGATTTTAAAAGGCAGGAAAGGTCACATTGTCAGTGAAGCAAAGGAAACAGTTTGGAGAAATTACACACAAGTAATAGTCATTCCTCTTTTATTTTTACAGTGGCTCAATTTAAAAGGGCCAGTTTTATATTTTTGTCACAACCCCTCCTCCTTGACACCTGCTTGCCTGTTGTTGGTTTTTGCTATTTTAGCCTTTTTAGTAACAGCGATGTGTGTGTGTATTAGTTTTGTTTGTCTGTATGATTGTCCCCCTTTCCCCTTTTGCCCCTTTGTCTCTCTCTGCACACCTGCCAATCATTGGGAATCAGCACAACAGCTTGCCATCAAACCATCACCAATTCCCTACAAGATCCCTTCACGAACAGCCAGTCCTTGCCGGATTGTTGTGCCATTCAATTTTCCTGCCTAGCCTAGCCTGCTGGTTTGTTTGTTTGCCTGTCTGCCAGCTTGCTTTACACCTGTTCTCCCTGTCTCGAGGATTACCTACCTGCTTTCCCACCTCGCCAGTCCACCGAGCTTGCTGGCCAATCCTTGGTGTTCCCTCTGCCAAGACTCAACCCACATTCCTCCCCTCTTCTTCTATACAGACAGCCAACATCTCACGTCCCTGCCTGTCTCAATAATAAAAGACGTGTTTTTTCACCTTACCTGCTTGTCTGGAGTCTGTGTTTGGATTGAGCTTTGATTCAAGCCAATTTTAGCCACACTGCAACAATGTGACCTAGTTCCAGTTCACGTTAATCTTTCAGGTCATTTCAGTGGAAACAAGCAAAACATATTTCACCATGTGTGTAAATGGGTCTAATTTTATAGTAGTACTCATCAATGATTTTGAC